CTGGCGGGAGGGGGCCGTCGCTGCCGCCGGTCGGTCGTCCGTCGTCCGTCGCTGGTCGTCGGCCGTCGGTCGTCGGTCGTGGGCCGTCGTCGCGGGCCGTCGGCCGTCAGTGGTCGGTCGAGGAGGGGCGAGGGGGGCAGAGGGGAGGCAAGCCAGGTGCGCTCGCACCGTACCTGGCATCCTACCCCTCCCACCAAGCCCTTCCCACTGCGCGGAGATTTTTTTCTCCATCCGCCGACGGGCTTCGTGGTGGAACGGAAGGGGGAGGCTGTGCACACTGGAGGAAGATGAGGTGACTGATAAGCAAGAGGGAGAGGAAGAGGACGAGGACGGAGAAGGACGAGCAGGAACAGCAGCAGCAGGAGCAGGAGTAGGAGGAGCGGGAGAAGCAGGAGGACCAGGGGAAGGCGAAGGAGGGGAACGAAGCAGCGAGAAAACGACGAGGGAAGGACTCGGATCCAGATTCGTGTCCCGCGCTGGGGCGAGACCGCCACTCTGAACGATGGGAGCAAAAGCGCCGATCCGAACATGAGGCCACCGCTGAAGCGTGATCGCCATTTTGAAACACCGAGGCCGCTCCGACTTAACAATAAGAACTTGTGAACGACTTTCAAGTCCTATACGCTGAAGAACAATTTGCGGGAGAAAAGGGGCCCAGCTCGGACAGGATCCGGGGAGGGAGGAGAGTAGTATTCCAATCGAGTGGCTGTGGACAGGGGGGCGGAGGACAGACATGTGAGTTTGCCGTGGACGACACAAGGGGATTGACGAGGGGAGGACGAGGCTGCAGGGGAAGCGGCTCCTCCCAATGTGGATGCGGGCGGGGTGAGGAGACTCGGCCAGGATCGGTGCTCCCGGAGATCAGACGTCGTGAAGGTCACGTGGGCGATTCCGAAAACACTGAACTCCTCCTCCTCCTCCTCCTCCTCCTCCTCCTCCTCCTCCTCCTCCTCCTCCTCCTCCTCCGCCTCCCCCCCCCCCCCCCCCCCCCTCCCCCTCCCCCTCCCCCTCCTCCTCCACCTCCCCTCCTCCTCCTCCTCCTCCTCCTCCTCGTTTTCATCTCTTTGGGGCGCATTTTTTGCTTCCGCCACCTTCCGCCGGCCATCCGCTGGCCGAGGCGGCCTCGTGTTGCTTCCGCCGACCTTCCGCCGTGGAAGAGATGACAACTCTGAAGGGGCCCTGGGACACACAAATAAATACACACAGATAACAGGATTCCACATATTTTCCAATATTTTCTGGGCTTCTGTCTTCCCCCCCACTTCCCATATTTTCCTATATTTTCTGGGAAATCGAGAATTCATTGTGTCTGTGTGTTTTTTCCTCTCCTGAAGAAAGTGACATGGGCAAAAGGAGTGAGAGGTTGGCGCAGGCCGTGACAACCCCAGCGCTCTGACACCGTGTAGATCGCTCGGCTGCCCTTCGATTGCCAGATCGTTCCGTACTGGCACATTCCGGGCCACTGGCCGCGTTTCATCTTGAACGCCTGCGGCCGGGTCGCCGCCGTGTCGCACGGCACGAACCTACCGAATGGTCAACACCCATAGTATGGGGGCAAGGTAAGGATGCAAGACCCTTGGACGTCGCATTTACCATTTAGAGCTCCTTGGACGTACACATTTGCTCATGATGGGCCGAAGAAGCAGAGATGCAAAGGTAGCATTGATGAAACAACGCATTTATTATTTTCGCGCAGCCTCGTCTCTATCGTGTGTGTGTGTGTGGGTGTAGTGATTGAAACTGTGCGCGAACATCTGCCCGATTGCGGCCGAAACAGGCGCCCGACACTTTCTGAACGCGCCAGAGTGTGACCGTTTTTGCTCGAAACCAAAGCGAGTTCCAATGTCGGTCACAAATTCGGTCGCACCATGTTTTCGGTCACAATATCAGCAGCCACGTTTTCGGTCACCGATTGTTTCGCTCAGATCCCGTTTCGGCTGATAGGGGACGGGCTCCATGATGCTGTGCATTTTGATTGCACCGAGACAGGGGGAGTAGGAGTAGGAGTAGCCGGAGGAGAAGGAGGAGGAGGAGGAAGAGGAGGAGGAGGAGGATAAGGAGGAAGAGGAGGAGGAGGAGGTCGACCCCGACGACCACGACCAGATGACGGCTTCGACAGACGCCCTCCCGACGCGCCCGACACGTTCCTGGACGTTTCCTGCAAGGCGGCTGCCCCGAGAGGCCCGCGGAAGACCCAGAAACGGCCGAGGACGCCCAGGAGCCTCGACGACCTCGACAATGAAAGGGTCCCTCCTCTTGCTCCCCCTCCCCATCGCCTCCCCCTCCTCCTCCTCCTCCTCCTCCTCCTCCTCCTCCTCCTCCTCCTCCTCCTCCTCTTCCCCACCCTCCCCTTCTGCCCCCCCTCCCCCTCCTCCCTCCCCCCCCTCCCCCTCCCCCTCCCCCTCCCCTCCCCCTCCTCCTCCTCCTCCTCCTCCTCCTCCTCCTCCTCCTCCTCCTCCTCCTCCTCCTCCTCCTCCTCCTCCTCCTCCTCCCTCCTCCCCCTCCCCCTCCCCCTCCTCCTCCTCCCTCCTCCTCCTCCTCCTCCTCCTCTGTCTCCTCCTCCTCCTCCTCCTCCTCCTCCTCCTCCTCCTCCTCCCTCCTCCTCCTCCTCCTCCTCTCCTCCCCTCCTCCCCCCTTCCCACCCTCCCCCTCCTCCTCCTCCTCCTCCTCCTCCCCTCCTCCTCCTCCTCCTCCCCTCCTCCTCCTCCCTCCTCCCTCCCCTCCCTCCTCCCTCCTCCCTCCTCCCTCCTCCTCCTCCTCCCTCCTCCCTCCTTCCTCCTTCCTTCCTTCCCTTCCCCTCCTCCTCCTCCTCCTCCCTCCTCCTCCTCCTCCTCCTTCTCCTTCTCCTCCTCCTCCTCCTCCTCCTTTCCGCGCCTAACCACGCACCTCTTCTTTCAGCGCAACGCATCAATAAGCGGACCACGTGTGCTCCTTCCTATTTGCCCACGGCGATTGTGGTGGCGAACTTCGCCGCCTTCACATGGGGTGCGAAACCTTCCTTCAGCGCCCGACTGGCGCGTTGGCCATGGACCCCAGGACTTTTGAAAGGCAGAAGGAGACTCTTGAGCTGGCGTGTTGACGCCACCCCACAACTGACACACGCGACGAATGCAGCATTGGGACGGTCGTTGCTGGCTGGGGTGCGAGAGTGCGCCAGCCTGCAGACCACACTACCTCCTTCTCGCATCTCTCTGTTGGCTTCCGCGGCTGGGGAGACCACCGATCCTGGACATTCCGAGGACGGTGGCCCTGGCACTCGAGACCTCGCGCACCACTTGGCCCCTCGGGGATCAAGCAGTTCATGACCGAGCTTCGGGAACTCCACGACAAGTCCCCCCAGGGGCTTTATTAAGGGCCGTGGCCTCATGTCTCAGCGCGACGGTGTCGAGTGAATTCACGGCCGCTCCGACTCGCGCAACAATGCGCGCGGTCTTCGACACAAGCCAGACTCTGACTAAACTTCTCACTGGCTTCTGGCGAATACTTATACTTAAACGTGGCGTTCTGAGCCCAGACGTCCGCGGGCCCTCCGAGAGATCAGCCCGCGGTCCACGTCGGACTCTGAACTGTGGGCCTCGACCTGTCGAGCCTGGATCCATTGCGGGCCCTGGCCCCCGAAGTCCTAGAGGGCCGCCCAAAACTCGCGCCAAAGACCAGCCCAGGCTGAGCAATAAGCAGTGGTCGCTACTGGACCGCCCATTAACATCATCGCTTACGAACCTAGAATCGATCACCTCCGCCGTGGGTGGAACACATACTCGTGACCTGACAAGCGCATGCAGCTCAGCCCCGTCAGTATCAAGATACAGAAAAGGGCCCCGTGGATGACATCTCGCTCGCCCAGCAAATCCTCTGACTGCAGCGTAACGACCGCCCACCTCCCCCCAGAGCTCACCCAACCCCAGTCTCCCTCATGCAGCGAGCCGTCCACGAATGCTTCCCTGGCAAAGATGATACCGACGCCAACGTGCTTCTGCCACGTAGCGTGGTCACCTTCGGGGATCTTGAAACTCATGGGCGGAGCTGGCGGTGGCCACGTCGCCATCTCCAAAAGGCACTGCGTTTGCTGGTGTTACAACCGGTCAAACAAAATGTCAATCTTTCGGGCGTGGGGGCCCTATCGCCCCACCCCCAGCGCTCGCAGTGCCTGTGCGCCAGGGGCCCGACCCCAGGACAAAGAAAACACTTAGCAAGTTGGCTCGCTGCTCGACAGTGAGGCTACCAAACTCCTTGCACTTGGCCGTCTGTAGCACAGAACCGTTCAGCAGGCGTACAGTGGGGGCCGATCCGCAAGAAGCCTTCCACGAGAAACCCAGCCCTGAGACCCCAGGACGCCCGGCGATGTTTGGCGCGGGAGCGTCACGCTTGCCATCGCAAAACCATCGAAACCCAAGAAACCCAGGGCACCCTGGAGGCAAGCAAGGTGTTTCCTGGTATGGGCCTCCACTGTGCTGGCGGACGCAAGACGGCCCCCTTCGGACAGGCGCCGCAGGCCCTCGTTGCGGGCCGACGCGTCCCTCGGCCGCGCCTCGAGGCCCCTGCTCGCCAGTTTGCGGTGGTGCCAGACAGAGCACTCACGAGCATCGGGCCTCGCGCCGTCGTGCGTGCTCCAGGTCAGCACGTCATCCTCCGAATGCTTCCAGGAAGGGCGCCCCGGAGAAAGCCTGATGGCCCTAACAGGCCCCTGCACCTGGGCCAGTGCGCAACTCTCGGGCGGCCGTGCTCGGGGGACTCTCACGGGCGCCGAGGGCTCCTGCAGGGCCCTGGCAAGCGCCGGCAGGGGGAGGAGGGCGGCTCGATAGATTGGGTCGAGCCCCTTGCCTAGCATCAGGGTCAGGAGTGCACGACTTGCCTGCCGCGCGGGGCTCCACCGCCGTGAACGTCAAGCTGCGCACCGACGTGAGCTCCGATCTCGACGCGCCAATGACAGACCACCCGTGCGACACCCCCGCCTCCATGCCAGCGCGAGCCACACGCTGCGCCGTCGCTCGTTCCCGAGA